TTATATAGACCTTATTAGTGGCACTGATATCAACTCGTTCACAATTTTAAAAGATGTTTTGAAGGCACAATAAAAGTATGTTCTTAGAAAGAACGAAATAAACTGAGAAATGAGATTAAATTATCTCGGAGATATATATAGTCAAATATCCAAAAGAAATAATTTTAAATGAATTTCCGATTAAGAATCTTTTATTCTTTCTCTTTCACTCTAAGCAGTCTACTTTTTTTATCCGTACAAACTGTAGACATATGAATCAAAGCGAGGAAGACTAAAGCATTGAAAATGATTAATGGCGTAGATTGTCTTACTTAAGAATAAGTCACATAAATGGAAAGCGATATTGTTTTTTTAAGAAAATTCTATTTTAATGAAAATTCATTTACAGATGCTGGGAAATCATATGACGTTTGGCATCAACACTATGCTCCATTTCAGTTTTATCAACTACAAGCAAACATATTGAGAAATCGATAGAATTTTGACGGCAGAAAGACATGAAATGAATTTTAATCGCCTGCCTTTATGGGGAGTTTGAGATGCTTTTCTTTTATTGATATTCATGGAAGAAACGGAATAACATGGCTTTTTCATATCAAGGAAAAGTTTGAAATTTACACTATGTTTATGAATTTTTTTGCCGAATGTTGATTAGTTTCGATAAGATTTAGAATATGAAAGAAATAATAATTCTAATATTAAACACTTACATAAAAGTTTATGTAATGAAAAAGTTACTATTTAATTAGAACAAATTTGTTTTCTATTCATTCATATTTCAAAAAGTTTCTTAGCAAAAAGCTCTCAACATTCAAATCTATTTAATTTAAAATTGTATATAAGCAGTCCAGAAAAATAAATTTAAACATCGATAAATAATAAAGAAAACACGCTTAATTTTCTTCTGTGAGAAGATATTAGTTTCTCTTCAATGAAAGTTAAAAATATTTTCCCCATATAATAGAGAAATTAATTGAATTTTTTTTCTTTATGATGTAAAATTAGATTTTGACTCGGCTCATATTTGAATTTTTTAATCTCCAGTGATTGCAATGAATAATTAAATGAAATGGAAATAACATATATGGTTTGATTTGAGTATTTGCCTTATTTTCATATACATCTTATTTTAAAATATATCTTGTAATTCAACAAAAGTCTCACTAAACATTTTTTCAACATAAGTCAAAAAATGTATGGATATATGAGAATAAAGAATGGACAGTAATTCTATTGGTTGAAACAAGCAAGGATAAGCTACACACACTATTGTGTGTAGCGTGTGAATGTAGCTTATCTTAACCGTGATGGATGGGGTGTGGGTGTGGGTGTGTGTGTGGGTGTGTGTGTGTGTGTGTGTGTGTGGGTATGGATGTGGGTGTGAGTGTGGGTGTGGGGTGTGGGTGT